GGCCAGCCTGGGCTACCAAGTGAGCTTCAGGAAAGGCGCAAAGCTACGCAGAGAAACCCTGTCTCAAAAAACCAAAAAAAAAAAAAAAAAAAAAAGTAACACATAAGCCCTGCTTACAGAAGCATACCTGGTACTGTCAATCTGAACAAGGGTTCATGGCTAGGGAAATCAAAGGCTCCAGGGGTGAACCTACTGTTATTATTTTGCTAAATGGATGTACAATCAAACTGCCGTCTATAATCATGTCTCTCTACCCATAGATTAGTGCAGCTCTCAGACCTCATTAGAGAAATTTCTTTGTGCAGTGGATGGTAATTAATACAGAAACTCATGACTGGTTAAAGAGTGCAGAGAATAAATGTCTGTGGAGTGCTCAGCCACAAATGGGACATCTAATCACACCCTTCCCAAAGGCTCAGCCACAAATGGGACACCTATGTCACCCCCTTCCCAAAGGCTCAGCCACAAATGGGACACCTATGTCACCCCCTTCCCAAAGGCTCAGTCACAAATGGGACATCTATGTCACACCCTTCCCAAAGGCTCAGTCACAAATGGGACATCTATGTCACACCCTTCCCAAAGGCTCAGGCTTATAGAGGGGCAAAAAGACCATAAGGCCAGAGGACGGGAGACAGCCACACAGTGTCTCCTGGACAGGCCAGGGCTGCTACTGTTGCCTGAGCAAGAGCAAGCCAGTCCACATTCCAGCACAGGCAGAGAGGGGCTCGCAAGCCCCACCCCTAGCTGGGTTGCCACAGATAAGCAGTGCTTCTCAGGGAGCCAGAGCTGATTTTCTTTAGAATGTAGTCCCCATTAGTCAGCCATGCTCCGGTGGATGGCCACACATGGACATGTGTGCAGCACACATTAGGCTTGGTGGGTATTAAAAAAGACATGACGTTTGGAGGGTGAGGAGGTAGAACTAAGGCGTTAGGAGGAAGAATGGGAGATAGATATGATCAAAATATAGTCTATGTGTATATGAAATTCTCAAAAATTAATGTCTATAAATTTTAAAATGTCTTGATTTTGGGTAATTGTTCATTTAATCTTAGCTTATTTGATTCTAAGACACTCTTGTCAAAATTGTGTGTGTGTGTAATTTCTGAGCTGGAGGGATGGCTCAGTGGTTTAGAACACTTGTTCTTGCACAGGACAGGTATAGTTCCCAGCACTCACATGGCAGCTTATAACAACTGTAACTGTAGTTCCTGCATCTGTAATCCTAGGAATAGCCTGGCAACAGAGCCAGAGTGTTGTGGAATATTTGTACACTGTTTGAAAATGTGTTGCTGTGATTGGTGTAATAAAAAGCTGAACACCCAATAGCTAGAAAGAAGGTAGGCAGGATTTCTGGGGACAGAGAGGACTCTGGGATGAAGGGCAGAGACACCAGGATCACTGAGAGGAAACAGGAGGTATAAGAATGAAGAGAGGTAATGTCATGTGATAGAATGTAGATTAATATAAATGAGTTAACTTCAGTTATAAGAGCTAGTTAGGAACAAGAATAAGATACAGGCCAAGCTTTTATAATTAATAAGAAGTCTCCATGTCATTATTTGGGAGCTGGCTGACAGGACAGAAAAAGACTCGTCACAGCCAGAGCCCCCACAGGGGAATAAAACATCTTGTGTATAATGGGGATTCAAGAGACAGCACAATGGCTGGAGATAAACTTAGGTGAAGAGCCCACACCTGGGGTACAGAGCAGGTTTGAGTCTTGTATACAATAAAAGGGTACAAGTTTCACAAAATAAATATGGGCTAGTTTCTCTCAGAATATTAAGTACAAAGCTATCAACACATACTTTTTTGGAGTGCATATATTATAAAAGAGAATTTTTCAAATTTTATACAAGTATATGCACAGTGTATAGAGATATTCTGTTTAATCACATCTTTATTTCATTGTTAGTTTTAGATGCTTTGAGGATGATATGAGACCTTCATTTAAATAGAACCTTCTTTTGAAAGCAAACTTTTATGATGATGGTAATGAGAACTGCAGTAATTGATCAGAATGAGAATTCTGAGGTTCATGCCTAGACTAAGAGGATTCAAGAAGTCTTGTTTCTGAATTTATATATGTGTATATTTATGTATCACCTACAAAGAGAGTTCATAAGAAATTCATAGGAATCTTTTAAAATTAGAAGGTTAAGATAGCTAAGTGATATATGCTTGCTTGCCTACCACACACAAGGCTTTGAATTGGATCACCAGTACCACACACACACAAAAAATTAACAAATGAAAAAGATAATATTTAGATAACACTGCCAATACCTTCTTTTAATTTAAGGGAATATCCTTAGACTTCCAGGTACTACTTTTATGGCTAAGATGGCTGGAAACAAAAAAGTGCTAATAATATACTGATGTTCTCTAAGAGACAAAAGCCATGATAACAAAATAAAGAAGCAATACACTCTAATACATACATAATACATAGGGGTTTAGGAACCCCTGGTTATTTCTGGTTGTGAGTCAGGGTCTCATGTCATCCAAGCTATCCTTGAACTCCATATGTAGCCAAAGGCAACCTTGAACTTCTGGTCCTCCTGCCTCAACCTCCCAAGTGCAGTAGCATTACAGGCGTGTATTGCCGCATCCAGTTTTATGTGGTACTGGAGACTGAACCACATGTGAATGCCATGCAAGCAAGTTCCCCACCAAGTCACATCCCTGTCTTCCTCAAACCTACTTTAATAGTGACATCAAGTCAGAACAATGGCATACCTGTGCGTATTCATGACATACCAACAGAGTAAGAACACGTTAAAAACTGGACTTGAAAAGCTTCTGGAGTTTATCTGGGTGGAAGCAGACTTTTGTTTGGAATGCAATGCCTGCAGAGTACAATAGTCCCATTTTATCCTCAGATGCCTTCTGAGGGCATACCTTCTCTGGACCACGACCCTGAATCTGAACACAGTGCCACTTTACTGATATCATATTTTACATATAGTTGTTTACCACATGCTGGGAAAAGACTAACCAAGCAGTGAATCCTCATTTGAATAAAGAAGACACATTTACATTTGTCATTCATTTATTTAAAGGTAACTTTCCTAAGAATTTTACTTTTGTGTGTAGTATGTATCATGAGGTTAAAATTTTCAAAAAGATCACTTCTTGATATTCTTAACAGGTTGTGATTTGACTAAACTCTGTTTAGCAGGTGTTTGTTAAATATATTTGCTCTGTATGAAGCACTGTGCTAGATGCCACAGATTTACCAAGGACTTATTACCTGCAGTGGAAAGTATATGAATAAATACCTGTGCCAGGCACGGTGCACACCTTAATCCCAGCACTCGAGATGCAGATGGATTGCTGTGAGTTCAAGGCCAGCCAGGGCTATGCTACACAGTGACACTCTGTCTCAAAAACAAAAACAAAACAAAACCACCACAGGGTGTAACAGTGGTGGGTCATATTTACCCTGAGAGGGTATGTATGCCTGGGCAGGGTTCCTTAAGGAAGCAGTGTTTGAAAGCTGGCTCCAAGAGATGGACAGCAGCATTCCTGGGGAGAGAAAGGCTGGATGACATCCCTTCATTAGTCGAGGTTGGTTGTGTGGGGATTTATGGAGGAAATGATTACCTTGGGACTAAATCCTGACTCCACCTGAATTTGACTCTATTCTGAAGGAAGCAGGAAGACATGGAAGGTGTCTGAGCAAGAAAACATAACAGTGAATATTTATCAATAACCTTCTACTTGGCATTGTGCTGGGTGTCCAGAATAGAGAAGTGAACACACAAGCTCCCTCCCCACCAGAAGCACACTGTGAGGGAGTGGATTTTCACAGCTGCATCTCAGCAACAAAATTAGTGTCAGCATATGATGGAGTAGGGAATAGGTAGGAAAAGGGTGATTAGTTAGGAAGGCATTTAAAAAACCTGCATAAGAAGTGATGGATGCCTGAACTCAGAAGCAGAGGAGGGAGTGGAAGGAGATTTATTCCAGAGATGCTGCTGCTGTACAAAGAGGACCACACCACTGAACAGTGATGTCACCAATCAAGCTTGGCGAGGATGGAAAGTTTCGTATGGACACTCAGTCTGGGGTATTTGCAACACATTCCTGTGGAGATTTCCTACTGGTTGCTAGAACATAGGTGCAGACCTTACATTGTAGATGTAACCAACCATCTTATTAAATAAGAAACACAGAACCAATGAAAAGAAGAAAGCCAAGAGATCAGAGTTAAGAGCCTTACCCATCTGCTACAGCTAGCCTCTTCAGCCAAGAGACCTCTCTGAAAGAGACCTACTTCCTGTCTGTTTGTCTTTATATAGACTTTCTGTTCTGCCTTCTCATTGGTTGTAAACCCAACCACATGACTGCCTCGTCACTGCCTGTCTGTACAGACCTCCAGGCCTTCTATGGTTGGTATTGAGATTAAAGGCATGTGTCTCCAATGCTGGCTGTATCCTTGAACACACAGAGATCTACCTAGCTCTGCCTATCAAGTGCTGGGATTAAAGGCGTGCACCACCACTGCCCAGCTTTTGCTATGGCTCTAATAGCTCTGACCCCCGGGCAACTTTATTAACATACAAATCACATTTTAGTACAAATAAAATATCACTATGTTACATGTCAGAAGGATTTTAGGAACTGTATTCAGAAGCTACAGCAGGGTTGTGGGATGTCTGAGTTCTTCAATGAAAGAACATGGAAGATAACAGAAAAACATGAACCCTGAACTCAGACAAACGCCTTAGTTTTAGAGTGGGACACTGAAAAGGGGCCAAGCGAGGAGATTGGAGATCACCAGTACACATCCCCACCAAAATGTCTGGAGATTTCCACTCTGCAGCAGATGAAGACTCAGTGTATCTTTCATAAAGAACATGTTTTCATCAAGGGACATTTATTTTTCTTCCTTTCCTGACTATAGCTTGATTTTAAATTAAAAGCATTTCATTGTTGTTTTGGTTTTTTAGACAGTCTCACCATATAGCTTCCTATGGCTTTGAACTCATGATCTTTTCATCTTAGCCTCCTGAGTGCCAAGACAACAGGTGTGTGCACCACACAAGGCTTAAAGTTCTTGTCACATATTTATTTGTGTGAATTTGTGTGTGTGTGTGTGTGTGTGTGTGTGTGTAACACACATAAATGCTTTTAAAACAGTGTGGAGGTAAATATATTTAATAATTTGACCCTGCTCTTTTTTGGCTCTTAAGGAATTGTGTCTGTTCAAGGCTTCTTCTCACTGGGCACTTGAGCTCAAGTCTAATTTTAGTTTATGAACAATACTTATAAACTTCTAGGGAAATAATACCTTTACATCCAGTTCTTCAGATTTAAGGCCAGAGGAAACCAAAGCTGCGTAAATCTGTGCGAGGTGATGGAGTGTCTTCTCTGTGAGATGGTACCTAGGAATGATATCATTGTGTTCACTCATTAGTTTGGTGCATGCATGTCCCACCTCCCCTTGCACTTACTTTACCCTCTCTGGAAAGGACATTGCCACCTTCTGTCTGTAAGCACACTATTAAATCTAGGGATGCTGAGGGTGTGTGTGGAGGGAGATGATTGACAGGTGAGGAGAGAATCTGAGCCACTCCATTCTCATCTCCAGGGATGACTGTATGGACCAGATGATTGACGGGTGAGGAGAGAATCTGAGCCACTCCATTCTTATCTCCAGGGACGACTGCATGAACTAAAGTTAGACACAGAGAATACTCTAGCTCTGGATCAAAGGAATGGGCTCAGATGAAACTCTGACCACAGCCAGGATAGCTACCATCTTTCATGAGCTGCTACATAGAAGAAGCACTCTTCTCCTTTCTACAGTTATTGACCAGGTCAGACGTGAATGCTGACCTGTGAGTGGCTATTTCTTTTTTTTTCTTAAATTGTAAGCATCACTTTAATTTCTTCACATGAGAAACTATGTTAGAAATTAAACTCATTTAAAAAGATCTATTTACAGTGAGAATATGAACATTAATAATTAAAGATAAAACAATATAGTACAGGTAAGTCTCACATTGAAAATTACAAAATATTAGTGAGGAAAAGTAAAGAAATAGAATATGGGGAATATAGTATCTTTATAGGTAAACAGGTCTACTCTTTCTAAAATTCCAATTTCCACAAAATTGATCTCTTGAGTCAATGATATCCAACCTGAAACCCAAGTACAATTTTAACAAAACTGACAAGTTTATTCTAAACTTCATGTAGTAGCATAAAATAGTTATCAAAATTACCTTAAAATACAATAGAAACAATGAAAAATTTCGGAAAACAGTCTATTCACCATAAAACTTGTATTCAACATAGGAAACCGACATAAAAATAGACAGAAGTAACAGAATGCAAGTACAATTTATTTCCTACAAAGCAAATATGTAAAGGCATCTTAGTAGGAATAGGGAGTCCTTTCAGCAAATGATTCTGCGCTTACCCATATGGGAGCAAAAATGGATCTGAGTCTACACTATTCTGTTCACAATGTATTTAATATGTATTTGAAGATTTTTTAAGTATAAAGTTTTTTTTTCCTTTTATTCTTTCTGGTTTTTCGAGACAGGGTTTCTCTGTGTAGCTTTGGCGTGAGCGGCTATTTCTATGGTTACCTACTCACTTTACATGTTCTAAGCAGCAGTGAAGAGACTGAAGAGTCTACCACTAAGAACTCCAAGCAAGTGTTCCTCTCTCTAGGCATTTCTTGGCTCTTTTGTCCTGTGTGTTAGCTTCTTCCTCCGTAGTTGTCTACACTATTCCTGGGGAGGCGTGAATGTTCATCCCAGACAGGGAGTCACTGATAGACCAAAGGAAGGACAGCCTGAAGTCCACCCTGGGGAACCATGTGTTTTACTGTGACTCCCTACAGGTATATGGGTGAGGGGTTACTTACAGGAGCAGAAAAGACTCAAAGGCAGCTGCACTACCAAAGCCCCCTCCAGCATGAGTGACAGCTCACAGAAGCTGGAAACCTGAAGCTCTCTGCACCATGTACAGACAGCTCACATGGTTGGAGCACTTTCTCTCTAGGCTGCTCCCCTGGTCTCTGCTTTTCCCGCAGTTTGGCTGAGGTACCTCCTCCAGGTAGCTCAGGTGGTCTGCGCCTCTCCCAGCTGAGCTGCCTGGGAGGACTCTGCGGCCTGTCGGCTGTCTGTAGCTGTGCAGCACGTTACAGGTTTGGAGCTTTGGTGAACCGTCGCCCATGCTGGGGTGGGCTTTGGTCATATTCTTTCTCCGTGAGTTATTTCTGCTCCTGGTTAACCCTTCACCCGCACTCCTGTAAGGAACCCCAGTGAATTCATTGGTTCACCAAGCCGACTGTCATGGTATCCGTGCCTTGTCATTGGTTCCTATTCTGGGTGAGTAGACGTTTCTTTGCATCTCCCCATGAATGGTGTCACCCAACACCCAGACAGACTTTCTCCACAGAGTAAAAGGCTGGTGGGGTAACGTACTGTGCCCAAGCTGTTTGTACAAACAACACGAATTCTGCTGAACACTTGCTTACCTTCTGAGCCCCGGAAGCTGTGACTGTGCTAAGCCCTCAACCCTGGTCATTGTGTCTCTAATAAACTCCCTGGATGGATAAAGGGTTGTAATGTTGTCACAACTTGTTGCTGAGAACACCAAGCCCCTCTGTGTACTAGGAAAAGACTCCGGGACTTCCTCAGGGCTTTGTCCAGGGAGCTCCCTCTCTTGTTCTGTTTGCATTATAGGCTGTGAGCCCTGGACTGTAAGAAGTCACAGCCACGAGTACAACTACCCGATGGCTCTTCCTGGCAAACTTCAAACCAAGGGATATGCTCAAAGGTTGCTGCTGCTCCTCCTTGAAATTACATGCCTAAATAACTAAGGTAATTGAAACCATTTCTTCAGCATTTTCTATTGCTCCCTTTTGATCAGCTTATTGAGATACTGCTTAAAGGTTCCAATTACCAGCCAGGTGTGGTGGTGTACGCCTTTAGTCCCAGCACTCAGGAGGCAGCGACAGGCAGATCTCTGTTTGTGAGTTCAAGGCCAGCCTGGTCTACAAAGATTTCCAGGGCTACACAGAGAAACCCTGTCTCAATCGCCCCTCCAAAAGGTTACAATTATCTAATAAAATAGAATTATGAAACTCAGAATTTTGAAACTAATTTATATTTATGATATAAATAAATGATCACACTGTATATTCTGATAAAATAAAGATATTTCAGAATATTACGTGATAGGTGAAAAATAAGATGGGACATTTGCTATTCTCCCCTGTGTTTCAATTGAACCACAAAACTATAAACAGCAATCTGAAAACAACCTTAGAAAACCTCCAAATAAGTAATTTATCGAAAAAGACTGCCAAAATTTGGATAAAGCTTAAAATGATTTATAAGTAGGCACCAAGCTTGAAGTGTTTTATGGGCCTTATTAATCTTAAAAGTCGGGGCGTTAAAACAGGAACCACAGTTTTTATTTTGTAGCCAGGTGGGAAGGGCTAACTCTGTTAACTGACTTGCTGGGCTGTTTGTTACCAGAAAGGGATGGAGACAAGGAGTTTAGACTCTCAGACTCCAGTGTGTATCTGTCCTCACAAGACAGTAACTGTACTGGAAGAGTTCAGTGAACTCGTAAGCAAGAGCAGCGTCAAGAAAGTGAGCAGAGTCACGGGCAATGTCGAATTACCCACACCTTCTCTGACAACCAGGCTTTATAGAGCCTATAGAGCCTGCTGTGAGTCAGGGGACGTGGCACTATAGGAATAAAGACAGTCAAATGGTTAGCCGTCCGGTAGGAAAGGCTGACTCATTCAGTGAACAGCTACTGAGCATCCATCATACGAAAGCAGTGTGCTCTTATGCTACGGAACAATCATAGACTAGGAGATAGAGCCCAGCGGTTCACAGGATGGAAAGCTGTGCATGAGGGAGTTCTGAGGAGAGATGAAGTAGAAAACACAGGACCTGGGGACAGGTCCGGAAAAAAGTTGAGTGCAGTTCACTAGAGGAAACAGTTGAAGAAGTAGAAAAGAAATGGGTGACAGTGGAAAGCACCTGGCTAGACTGGAAGTCAGTAAAGAAGCAACCTGAAAATACAGGTGGGTCCTATCCCGACACCTCACACATATGGGTCATAGTCTGTATTGTATTCAGTAGGTAACTAGGAACTCTGTAGAGACTGTGTGTGTGTGTGTGTGTGTGTGTGTGTGTGTGTGTGTGTGTGTGTGATGTTGGTGTGTATACACATGCACACAGAGCCAGAAGTTAATGACCTTTCCTTCTCCTCCTCCTCTTCATCATTTGGAGACAGGGTGTTACTATGCAGCCCTGGCTGGTCTGGAACTTGCTAAGTAGCCAGCAGGCTGACCTCAGACTCACAGAGATCCTGCTTCTGGCTAGGATTAAAGGTATGCACTACTGAGCCCTGCTTAGAGCCAGAAGCAAACATCTCAAGTGTTATTTCCAAGTGCTGTCACATGGCTTTTTTAGGCAGTGTCTATAGTTGGCCTGGAACTAGCCAAGCAGGCTAGGCTGGCTGGTCAGTGAGCACCAGGGACCCATTTGTTTTTGCCTCCCAAGCACTGGGATTAAAATGCATGCCTGTTTTTGTTGTTATTGTTGTTGCTGTTTGCGTCAACATGGGTTCTGGGATTTGAACTCAGGTCCTTGGATTCCAACTCATTTCCTTGTACCAAGCACCTTACCGACTGAGTTATTTTCTCACCCTCTCAGTAAAGGCTTTTCTTAAGAATGGAATAACCAGAGCTTGGTTTTAGGGGCATCAACTGAGTATAATACACACCACTTAAAGGAACATGCAGAGACATGTGGAGAGAGAAAACAACAGGTGGTGTAACAATCCACATGAAACAGTGAGACTCTGAGCTAAGGGACTGGTAATATAAATGCAGGACAGATACCAAGAACTGCTAAAGGGCAGGTAAGAAGAAATACAGGTTTGCAGGGGACAGAGACTATACAGTCAGCTCCTATCTGACACATTAGCTTTGCGAGTTTGTGGAATATAAGAGTGGAAATATTTAGTAAAGATTTAGAGATTTATGCCAGAAATTCGCAAGAAAGACTGCAGCTGCAGAAAGAAACATAGTAATTATATACCACCAGATACTGACAAAAGCTGTGGTAGATAAGACAGATAATGGACAGAACAGGAGAAAGAGAACTCCAGATAAATATACTTGGAGACTGGCACAAAGAAGATAGAAAGGCAGGGGGAAAATACTTAGAAAGGCAGGCCATCAGAGGCACTGGAGTGTCACAGAACTGCAGAGTTTGGAACAACAGACTACTGCAACAGTCTTAAATGCTCCAGAGCAGCGAGAGATAAAAGCATTGTTGATGGTCCTGAGACCGTGACCTCCAGAGGCAAGGACTGGTACAGAGACATGGAGAAAAGCCAGCTGGCAGAGGATAAAGGAGAAATGTTTATTATGCTTATCAGTAAAGGAAAGGATAAATACAATGATGACTTAAACCATTGTCTGGCCATGGCATTTTCTAATGTTTTGGTTAAGCCCATCAATGACCTAAGTACAGGAAGAAGTTATGCATTCGATGTATTAACATGATTTTAGAAGTGGTTTTAAAATGATTTATCTTATAGCAAACAAGCCCAGGATTACAAAGAAATAAAACACTTAAAATAATAACTCTTAATTATTTTAAGATGGGGGTAGTAGGGGATGATCTGAACAGAATGTCCAGGACAACATGTATCATCTCCAGAGTTCTTTGTTTCCCAATATGTGGAGCCTCCAGCTCCACAACCCCCTCACTAAAGCACACTAGATGAGTAAGTGGAACTTGGCATGAACATTTATGTGCAAAGAGGACTGAAGAAGAATATGAACATAACTTTGAAGGAAGAAATGTTTACCTACTCTGAATTTAATGTTTCCTTGGGATATAGTATTATCCAACAACAGCTATATTGGAATGACAATGCCATTAATCTCATAATGATATTATCTGATGCCTTCTCATAATGTAATTCTTCTAGGTCCTATAAAAATAAAGAAAATGAAAAGGTACATTAGGTTGACTACTGTTTAAAATTTTCAATAGTCTGTGGTATATAAACGGTAACTTAAGAGGGTACAGTTTAAAGTAAAAATTAAAATCATATGGAAATAAGGAAAGCTGCAGTAGACATAAACAAGTAACTAATGACAGCATCAGGAAGCCTGGTGAGTCTTCCATAGCCCAAGATATGACTAAAATGACCCAATCGATGCTCCTGTGCTGGTAAAGTGCTTTGTAGACTGAGATCTGGCTCTCAAGGCAACAGAAAGCACATTTCAAAGCCTATGGAATAACCTGCTGATATTGCAACTGATAAAAGCACTTGTCATGCGAGCACCATGACCTGAGTTCAAGCCCTGGAGCCCTGCTTAAAAGGGTGGGCTTTAGTAGACTTCTTGGGTCCCTCAACAGTCTGGATCATCTTTTCCTCTAATTATTAAAATTTAATAAGATATTTGATAAAAATGTGTCATGTTATTGGTAATGGTCAGGAAAAAAGTTAAACAAAGGAGATTAGACTCAGGGATCTCATTCTAAAAAGAAAAGAGGGGATGTTGTAGAATATTATTTTAAGATGTGTTATTTTTGTTTATGCTGCATTTGTTTAACTCTGTGAAGCTGTGTTACTGTGCCTGTCTAAAACACCTGATGGTCTAATAAAAAGCAGAATGGCCAATAGCAAGGCTGGAGAAAGGACAGGCAGGGCTGGCAGGCACAGAGAATATATAGAAGAAACCTGGGAGGAGAGATCTAAGAGTCAGAGGAGGAGGCCATCAGGGGCCAGCCACCCAGCTACATAGCAAGCCATGGAGTAAGAAACAAAGGCAGGTATACAGGAATAAAAAAGGGAAAGCCCAGGGGCAAAAGATAGACAGGATAATTTAAGAAAAGCTGGTAAGAAACAAGCCAAGCTAAGGCCAGGCATTCATAATTAAGAATAAGCCTCTGTGTGTGATTTATTTGGGAGCTGGGTGGTGGGCCCCCCAAAAAAGAGCAAAAACAAACAACAACAGGGGATACAGAAATGATAGTATAAAAGAGTAGATTATTGAATCTACTTTAATCCAAAAAACAACTATTAATCTTAAATATTTTACATTGGCATGGATTTTGGTTTATTGATACAAATTTAAAGTTAATTTTGTTATATTGTATGTATATTTCTACTCTTGTTTAAGGTACTATGTTTATGCAGCTCATTTAAAAATGTAATGTATAATTAAGAAATATAGATTAAAAAGAAATCTATTAATAGTCAAACTTGTAGTCATGTTATGCATATTTTCAAGGTCATATACAGATATATTACACAGATAGATGCTCTTCAAACACTTCAAAGACCTACAGAATATGGCATTTAATATGTTTAAGAACCTAAGGCTTTTCATGACAGTGAGACATGTTTACTCCTAGCAGCACCAATCCACTTTCGAGGAGATGATGGATATCGAAGAAACTCCATATGGAGTTTGCTTTCTTTATGGCAAAGGCTAGCCATTTGGGCAAAGAACCTGCCCTTGCTTCAATTGCTGACAGTACACTGTCCAAACTGGACCAACACGACACAAAAAAGGTGACTGCCAAACTTTGCCAAGACAGGGTAGGACAATCCTTCAAAATTCCCTGCTTCACAGAAAAGTCTGTCCAATACGCTAGGCCTGTAGGCCAGAGTTGGATGCCCTGACCTTACAGAGGAACTTTGGATGACTGTCCAGACAGCCTGATGTCCCTGTCATTAGATAACATTTCATCCTTCTGGTGTCTTTGATGGAGTTAAAGACTAAAGAGTTAAATTTATCATTTTCCATAGTTAAGATAGAAAACAAATTAGGTATTAAACTTTAGACTCACCAAGATAAGACAGGTAACTGAGTGTTTCCTCTAAATTTGTCAAATACAAATGGATTGGATATTGTAACTGTAATTCTTACTTAATAATTGTTTTGTTATATATAGTTTTACTATGTTGAGGTTAAAACTTTCCTTTTAAAAATTAGACAAAAAGGGAGAGATGCTATAGAATAACCCTTCTGTACACTGTGAACATGTATTACTCTCCATGGTTAATAAAAAAGCTGACTGGCCAATAACTGGGCAGGAAGACATTAGGCGAGACAGCCTGACACAGAGAGAATTCTGGGAGGAAGAAGGGTGGAGTCAGAGGAGTCACCAGCCGATGCAGAGGGAGCAGGAGATGAATGTGCAATGTTAATAAATGTACTACCACGTGGCAGAACGTAAATAAGGAATATGGGTTAACTTAAAATGTAAGAGTTAGCTGTGACAAGCTTGAGCTATTGGCTGAGCATTTATAATTCATATTAAGCCTCTGATCAATTATTTGGGAAGCAGCTGCTGGGTATTTGGGAACAGGCAGTTGCGACAGGAAAACTCCACCTACAGTGTCATTCAAGACATGTCTTCCTTCTAACAGAAGTTCTGTAACTGTGGATTAGGACAGTTTTTCCAAGTCAACAAATAATTGAGAACTTTAAATATTAAAGGAACACTGTCTCTTTAAAAATCCAGGACTTGAACTTTTCCATTATATCATTCTTATATTGTAATTTTTGCTTATTAAATCAGACCTCACCACATTTACTAATAATTTGTACTCAAACCTGCTATCCAATCTCCATTTCTTTGCAACTGGTACATCAATCAAGCAAACATTTAAGAAGACTCTTCCAAGAATTTATACATCTTAAATTCCAAATTATGTATTTTAACAAATTTGTGAGTCTCACAGTCATAATTTTAATATGTCAGTAGCTGTGGTTTGAGTGGCAGTATTGCAGGTGAGGAGGTAGGTCTAAAGTCTATGTATTTTTAGAGATTCTCTCTCTCTTTAAAAAAACAACAATTTGAAGTAATCCCTATTTGCATTAGAGGAAATGCCGCATTTCTAACCATTAATTAATATTATACTTTCTTGGGATGGAAAGATGGCTCAACAGTTAAGACCACTTACTACTCTTATAGAGAGCCCAGATTCACTCAGTTCCCAGCACCCTAGATCAGGTAGCTTACAGTCGCCTGTAATTCCATTTCCAGGAGATCCAATGCCTTCTGGATCTTTGAGCACCTGTATGCACATGGTGCACATAAACTCACAGTCACACAATATACACATAAAATAAAAAGGAAGTAAAGAACGGACTACCTAACTGTATATAATTATTCTGTACTTTCTTCTATGAAAGAGTGTGGCTGGTTCTTGGTCTTCTTTATCTTGCTTTGTTTGTACAGCTGGTGATCACACTCAGGGCTTTATGCATGCTAGCCGGCATGCTATTATTCCTAGCCCTTAGTATTTTTTTTAAAACTTCCTACACTAATTTTTCTATGAATACTTTTTAAAATAGGCCAATATACAATGCTAAAGATTTTTTTTAAAGATTTATTTATGATGTATACAGTGTTCTGCCTGCACAACAGAAGAGGGCATCAGATCTCATAATAGATGGTTGTGAGACACCATGTGGGTGCTGGGAATTGAACTCAGGACCTCTGGGAGAGCAGCCAGTGCTCTTAACCCCTGAGCCATCCCTCCAACCCCAGATTCTTTATTTACTTTATCATTTTGCTTGTTTGTTTTGAGTTAGGGTCTTGTTCTATATAACTCAGGTTGGTTTCAAACTTGCAGTTCTGTCTTAGTCTCCTAAATGTCAGAACTGCAGATAAACATTACTAGGCTTGTCTTGTCTTGTCTTCATCTTCCTTAAATATGTTAACATTTGTATGGCATTCAGGAAGATTAGTAGTCATTTTCCATTAGGGTAATTTAGCACACTGTGTCCATATACAAAATTTAGAAAAGATCACAGATTATAGTTAAGCTCTATATAGAAAAGAAATTACATAGTTGTATTATTTTAATATGCTTGACTTTCTAATTTTAATATATTGTATTAATAAGTGATAATTTTACACCTTGAAAACATTTGTTCCCTACTCCCCATACTAATAGCCCCAGACTCCCTTCCCTCCTGATTTTCTGTTTTTATTACACAGTTTTACCTGCATAACTACAGCAGTATGCTCATCAACTGTGACTACTACGTAACGCTCTGTGCTTCCAAACAGTTTCAGTGACTCACAGCAGCATCTCTCCACTAGTGTGATATTATAGCTGCAAAAGACAATATTCTTCAGTGAAAATAATGTCATGGCTAAAAATGCTCTTCAGAGTATTGTGCTGTCCTTCTGAATATTAAATTATGTGAATTACTGTTTTTTTCATAAATGAACTTACTCTTTAAATTTTGGATGAAAGTTATTACTTATTGAGTATATAAAAGAAAGCAGACACTTCTTTAATCTTTAAATAAATTAATAAAAATTTAAAAAGAGATTAACACAATTCAATGTGAAAGCAATAGAAAACACACCAGAGGCCTTCCAAGCTGAGCAGAAAGTTAAAGAAAAATTAAATTGCATTTTGTCCATAAAATTAGTATATATTATGAAAATATTATTCAATAGTTATTTATAGTTTAGGTATTAGAAATATAAATTGATATACTCTGTGGAAAGAAGTTCTTTATATTCTAGTCTTGGGTCAGGAAGACAAGGTATAGTATGTACAGCGTTATTCATCAGAACACACACACACATACAGAAGTGCTGAGACCAGCAACTAAAAATCGTGGCTTACTCAGATTCCAGCAGCCGGAGTATTTCTGGGGTATTAAGCACTCCTTCAGATGCAAAAAATATGTATGGGATCTTAATCTCCAAGAGAAACCCACCAAATCTATCCAGCAAGGTGTTTCCTAAAGAAGAGAACTATAAATGTTTACATTTTCTTCTACCACACCGCTCTCTTTTTTATTAAGCAGTAGTAATGCAGGTGTATGTTAAAGAAACTATATAAATGCAACGTTTGTTTTATAAATAGAAATCTGAACAAAGAAAACTGTTTCTTCAAACAGACCAGTTCTGCTCTAATGGAGAACAGGATCCTGGCTTGTCTCCTTACTATTCAGAGCTGTCTCTGGAACGACGACTTTGAAGGCCAGGAAAGGTATACTCAGCTGCTGGCAGTGCCTGGCCCAGCAAGAGTGTCCCACGTGATTGTACTCCACCACCAGTGCGAAGCTGCTCCAGGGGAAATCTGCTCTGATACTGTGATGATGCACAACCACACAGGAACTGGTACTGAAGACAAAAGCAGGTCAAGACAATGGGATTACCCCTGTCTTCCTTTAACTGGGGCAGTGGAGATGGCTTCCTGTGCTCACCTGACCTTGTCTACTCAACTGGAAAAGCATCGGCACACTGTGCTCATCTCTCCCGACTGTGTTAATCTTATTCCATCTTTCTTCTGTTGTTTTGTTTATACTTTTTGAGACAGGGTTTCTCTGTGTAGCCCTGGTTGTCTGGAACTCACTATATAGACCAGGTTGGCCCCAAATTCACAGAGATCTGCCTGCCTCTGTTTCCCTGTGCTGGGACTAACGGCATTCACCTCCATGCTTGGCTTTCATTTTATCTTTCTCTCGGATAATCATACTTAAAAAAAATACCAGAACATACAAAATTTCATATGCTCATATCCCAAATGTAATTCTGATTTAATACCTGAGTATCATGAATAATAGACATCAACATGAAAGACTGCCTCACCTCACCAAATGTAAAAATCTTAATTTTGAGAATCTCCATAGTAGGGTATTTTCTGACCACTGTCAGATGGAGTTTTCTTCTCAATGGGATTCAAAAGTGTCTAATGGAAACAAGAACTGATGGATACAGTAGTGCAGTCTACATCATCTCCATGTAATACAGCACGACCATAATTAAACCCTCCACCACTCCTTTCCATCCAGATCAGGCCAGAAGTTTAAAGTGTTTATACCCAGCTCTTATGGGCTTCTGTTTTATTTACATTTCTTTTATTATTTGGATCCCAATAGTAGAAACAATTTCTATGTGAAATAAGACAAAATAAAGGCATTTAAAAACCCAACTCTAGGGCTGGAGAGATGGCTCAGATGTTAAGAGCACTGGCTGTTCTTCCAGAGTTCCTGAGTTCAATTCCCAGCAACCACACGGTGGCTCACAACCATCTATAATGAGATCTGCTGTCCTCTTCTGGCCTGCAGGCATACACGCAGGCAGAACACTGTATACATAAGAAATAAATAAATGAATCTATTCTCAGCAGGCCGTCCCCAGGAAGAAAGGAAGCAGACGTGGCACACCAAGAACCTGAAGGAAACATGGTTATGCTTTAAAAGAGACTTCTTTTTCCTTTCTTCCCTTTTTGTTTTTCCACGAGACAGGGTTTCTCTGTGGAGCCCTGGCTGTCCTGGATCTCACTCTGTAGCCCAGGCTGGCCTCAAACTCACAGATCTGCCTGCCTCTGCCTCCCGAGTGCTGGGGTTAAAGGTGTGCAATACCAACTGCCCGGCTCATTACTGGGTCTTAATACCACTGCCCTAGTAGTATCTCTATTCTAACAACAATGATGATGATAATTTTGGGATCTTAAAACAAGACTGAGCTAAATTCTTGGATGCTAATTTTATTAAATAGACATGGCTATGTTGAGAGTTAAAGTGTTCTAAGGCATTTTTCATGAGGAGAGTAAAGCTGTGGACTTCAGACTTTCTTAAAGAGAACTCTGGGAGGAACATCTTCCCAAGCAATAGGGGCCAAGGCCAAGGCCACTCCTGGCCAGTGAGCTACAGCCCAGCCTAAACTCCAGGGGAAGCTCTCCCTTTCCTGTGGAGCTGTGCCACATATTAAAAATATACAATCTTACCCTTTTAAAACACCAGTAGCTTCCAGAAAATCTTTCCTCTCATTTGAATGTAAAACAGTCAATGTTAAACCTGTTGGGAAAAAAAGGGAGTTTTCTTTCATCAAGATTTTTTTTTTAGTTTTGGTTATAATTTTTTTCCAGTGCCACAAATTTCACTCCCATAAAAGTGAACTAAAATTCTGTAAGCAAGGAAATTATTTGAAATACAATTTTCCGGATTACATTTCTAAGTCTAGTTTATTAGAAAGCTTATAACATAAACAATATTTCTGGTGTGTATACATGAAGATCATGTCAATTTTTTATGCCAACAAAAACAGTCAAACATTTAATTTTAAGACAGTCATATTAAACACTTGTCAGTTGTGCATTTAATATTACTTTGCCCTAAGTCATAGTAATTCTTATTCTTTCTCTAGCCAAAAATGTAAGTACATAACAATACCAGCAAGAGTCTATTTCAATGTGATATGAACATGTATGTGTATGCATTTGTTTACTGTCTATAAAGAAATAGAACTTAATGAGCACCAATCATTCATGATTTTTAACTTTAATTTAAATTTCTTACTAGCATTTAAATAAAATATAAATTTCAAACACTGTATCCTGCTGTGGGATGTCTTTCTGTATACTGTGAATATATGTTGCTCTGATTGGTTGATAAATAAAGCTGCATTGGCCTATTGCAAGGCAGCTTAGAGGCAGGCAGAAATCCAAGCAGACAGACAGGAAGACAAAGGAAAGGCAGAGAGATGTCAGCTTGCTGCCCAAGGAACAACATGCCAACAGACTGGTAAGCCATGGAACACGTGGCAAAACACAGATTAATAGAAATGGGTTCATTTAAGTTATAAGAGCTAGCAAGCGAGAAGCTTGCCATGTGCCATGCAATTGGTAATTAATATAAACCTCCAAATAATTATTTTATAAGTGGCTGTGGGACTGTGGGCCAGGTGGGACTAGAGAAAAACTTCTGACTACATTTGGTGCTCACCATTGGGCATTGATCCACATAGACCTAAGAAAGTTTAAAGATTCTGAATGCACAGAAACAGAGCCACACTAGGCTTCCTAGTCTCACAGTCTCATGCCAGTAGCAGCACAGAAACTTGTCTCCCAATAGCTGTCTGTGAGAGAGAACTGGCCACCAGCTGCCATGAACTAAACAACATGGAAGATTCCCGCCACAGTACACAGTGGCATCTCCAAGCGGCACAGTGCACTGTGTGGCAAATTTAGCTTTTGCTAGTACAGATTTAAAAAAGGGGGGGGGGCAGTTTTCTGGGTTACACTCTCCTTGACAGAGGCATAGACCCACTGCCTCCCAGAGTTGGTGGAGAGCATGGCTCCCAGAGCTGGTCTGGTGGTGAATTACCTCTGCCATGTTGGGAAGCTGAGGTGGGCAGAGCCAGTAACCAGGCCTGCAGTTTCCGTCCTAGCCTCTGCAGTTTAAAGCAATGGTCAGAAAATGACTACAGAAACACAGTAAGAACAGACTCAGATGGAATAAAACTCTGAACAGTTTATAGTGTGTGTAAAAATGTATGTAGGCTTGGAAGAGAGAGGAAAGGGAGTATATGTAGTTATATAAAGAAATAGATTTTTTTTAAAAATAAAGTCCTTAAAGAGACAGTAAAAGTAATACAAAAAATAAGCCACATAAAGATGGAAGTTACACAGAGTCTGCAATATATTGTCTCTGGGATTTTTAACTGCAGAAAGACATTTGATTATAAAGGTTGATAAGTTAAACCAATGTATATATTTTAAAGGTATCTTGACTTCAAAATTTATTGTCTAAAAGTATATTGCTTTGGAAGAGAGGTTCTGCTTTTGTTTCCATAGAAGATGAGAACCTGTGGATTGCTTCCAGGCTAACATGGTTTGATCAGCCAAGACTCCCTGAAAGGTCTCCAATGACATTGTGCCCAGATGATCCAATATCCAAAATCAACTTCAAGGCAACTGGCTCAGAGAATATATCCTCACAGACTACTCTAGTCATGACTTGACCATAATTCTTAATTTTCTCAGGCCCCGTAAGATTGTCAGTACCCCCAACCAGCAGGAAGTAGTATGAGAAGCTATGCCCAAATTCCCAAAATATTGTTTATAAATGTTTATTTTTATTTAAAGGGGGTTGATTATAAATACAATCTCTTTGTAAAAAAAAGGTGGATATAGATATGATAGGATAAAAGGGTAGATTATTGAATCTACTTTTAAAGTTTGTTTAAAATATTTAACATTGCTATGGATTTTAGTTTATTGATGCAAATTTAAAGTTAATTTTTGTTATACTGTATGTATATTTCTACTCTTGTTTAAGGTATGTTTATGCAGCTCATTTGAAATTATAATGTATAATTAAGAAATATAGATTAATAGTCATCCATGATAATCAAACTTATATTCATGTTAGTTAAGTTTTCTAGGTATACATAGATATATTTCAATTCAGTAGGTAATCTTCAAACACTTTAAAGACCTACAGAATATGGTATTTAAAATGTTTTAAGAGCTCAGACTTCTCTGGATAGTGAGACACATCTGCTCCTGGCAGCACCCATTTACTTCAAAGAGAAAAATGGGCATCGAAGACACTCTATATGGAGTTTATCTTCTTGGCACAAAATGGCCATTTGGGCAAGAAACTGATCTTGCCTGGACTGCTTGACAGGATATTATATAAACTGTACATGCAGGACCCATAGGAAGGTGACCACTGAACTTTGCAAAATGAGATGGTCCTTCAGGTTCCTGCTTCACAGAAGAAACTGCCAGACATTCTATAGGACACAGAGAGAAGCAACTGAGAGACTCTAGGCCTATAGGCTGAAGAAGGATGACACAACATTACAGAGAAACTTTAGATGACTGTCCCATTAGGCAGCTGTCTCTGTCATTTCCAGAATTTTGGAAGCTGCTTACAATGTATTTCCTGTTTATTTAGGTAACATTATACCCTTCTGGGGTCTTTGATATAGTTGAAGACTAGATAGTTATAATTTTTCTTGGTTATGATAAAAGATAAATTAGATATGAAACTTTAGACTCATAGGCTAGAATATTTTCTTTAATTTTGCCAAATACGAATGGACTAGCTATTGTAATTATAATTCCTGCTTCATAACTGTTCTATTATATGTAATTTTACTATGTTAAAGTTAAAACCGTCCTTTTTGATTAGACAAAAAAGGGGAAGTGCTGTGGGATATCTTTCGATATGCTGTGAATATGTGTTGTTCTGATTGGTTGATAAAGCTGCACTGGCATATGGCAAGGCAGCTTAGAGGCAGGCAGAAATCCATGCAGATAGACAGGAAGAGAAAGGAGAGACAGACAGATGCCAGCTTGCTGCCCAAGGAACAAAATGCCAGCAGAGCGGTAAGCCACGGAACATGTGGCAAAACACAGATTAATAGAAATGGGTTAATTTAAGTTATAAGAGCTAGCTAGCAACAAGCCTGTCATATGCCATGCAATTGGTAATAAATTTAAGCCTCTGAGTAATTATTTTAAAAGTGGCTGTGGGACTGTGGGCCAGGTGGGACTGGAGAAAAACTTCTGACTATAGTATTCTTACATTCATTTAGCTTATTTTGGGTTGACATAACTAATTAAAGAACAGTTAGACTAAGTCTAAATTAATTCTATAATCTATTAGTGTACTTCCATAAATTGTAAAGTTCAAAAGTTATTATATAATAATGACATAGTCATGGTTAACCATTATGTGTAACATTACTTGATAACACATAGTTTAGCAGCAATAAAGACAAATATTATCTCTCTATATAGATCATAAGGTGACTCACATCATCGAAAGTCTAAGTGAGTGTTTTATATTAGCTCTGATCCTGGAAACAAATTAATGACATGGTGAGCGCCTTACTAGATCTTTAAACATGTAGAAAATGAAACCAGATTTTTTTCCCCTATCACTAGATATAAAAAAAGACCCAGCTAGCTCCTGGCTGAGGAGAGTTGTCAGTTTGCAAGATTCAAACCTCCCAGTTGTACAGTCAAGATTTTTGTGTCAGCAGACAATGCTGAAATGAAGACAGCAAGTATCAAAGACAAAAGGGGACTCAGCCTGAAGCCCAGACAAGAGCTGCAACTGTCAATCATTTCCTCACCTCCACATCACATGCTAAATTTGTGTAGCACTTTCCTGATTATTTATTTAGTGTGTGTGATTGTGTGTGTAGTTCAGAAACCAACTTGCAGGCGTTGGTTCTCTCCTTCCACCATGTAGATAGGAGTTCACATTCATACACACAAATAAAAATCTGAAAGGAAAATAATCAGCTTCCATATGAGAGGGCTAGAGAGGAAGCAATGGCTTATGGGAGAAAGCTATGTTTCAGTTATAGTGTGATAGAAACTGCATGTAAGCAATGGGTTCCTAAGCTCAAAGTAGAAAGGGCTGATGGGGGGCCTCAGTGAACAGAGCTGAAATATTCAGTGACATGAGAAAACTGGTCAGATACTATCTCCTCAATTACTACCTATAAGATCTAGTATGCTACATAATCTTTATGAATGTTTTCTTTGTTTATAAAACTGAGTTGTTAAGCAGCCAGTATCAATGTAGCAACTAGGAAGTAATCTACAAAACATGTCAATTCTTAATAAAAATACGTGTAAGTATTATAGATATATTACAGACTTAGAATCTACATTGGTTTAAAAATTGTTAGTTAAATACTGGTGAAAGTTTGAGCAACTGGAGAATCAAACCATTGGTAAAACCCCACTGAGTCCTAGATTATGAGAATACAAATTTATGGTATTTTACTGTCAATAACAGTTAGATGAATGCATTTGTATAACTTAAAGCATTTACTAAATGAAACATAAGTTAAATGCCCCTACCTTCTATTTTCTTAAGGGTTTTAATAAGCAAATGCTTTTCTCCATCTGAGTCCATTCTTATTATAATCAGTACCTAGACAAAAGTAAGAATTCCACATGTAGTGCTGAATGATTATTCTTTTCTTATGTATGTATGTATGTATGCATGTATTTTTTTGTGGTACTGGAGGTCAAACCTAGGGTCCCAGCATGCTAGCTAGTGCTCTACCCTGAGGTGTATCCCCAGCTGGATTACTCTTCCTCACAGTTTTGTTACAGACAGTGAGAGTAGAGTTCCCACGTGTGGCAGCCTGTGAACCCAGCACTAAGGAGGCCTAGGCAGGAGGACCTGGAGGTCAAGGCCAGCCTCTGCTGCACAGAGAACCCAGCCTTACAAACAAAAAGGGAACACACAGGTTACAAGGTAAATACTCCTGTTCTAGATTCTGGTAACATCAGACATGACTGGGAAGTGTTCTGAGGCAGTGCCTTAGTGTTCCGATCTGTAGTGCCCATGCACAAGCTGTCTCAGCCTGTTTTGTACTGTTCATTTCAACCCCACAAGTGTGAAATCATTGGAGAGAAGGAGTGGCTGCTGCATTCTTCTTCTTAGCATGCAGTTTCTCTTTTGGAGGGGAGCAGTGGATCCGGTTCAATAGGAAATTTCTCATTGATTGATTTAACGACCTGTGGAAGTCATTCAAGAAACTATAAAGTCTAGGATAAAGGAGTGACAAAGTGGAAAAGGGAAAAAATCCATATGAACTTGTATTCAGATTTAGTGTGACCACTTGTAATGCTTTTCTGCGAGATTAGGTTTAAAGAGGTATTTTGCCTTAAAACTTCATTAATTCAGCTCTCATATAATTGATGTAGGGTATGTGAGAAGATAAAAAAGTACATAAGGTTTTTTTTTTTTTTTTTTTTTTTTGGTTTTTGGTTTTTGGAGACAGGGTTTCTCTGCGTAGCTTTGCGCCTTTCCTGGAGCTCACTTGGTAGCCCAGGCTGGCCTCGAACTCACAGAGATCCGCCTGGCTCTGCCTCCTGAGTGCTGGGATTAAAGGCGTGCGCCACCACCGCCCGGCTGATATTTTTTATAATATCATGACAGATAAGATTCTAGATTATTACCCCCAAATAAATTATTATAGTTATATTATGATGTAAATTTCCATGATCTTGTACAAATACCAGGTGGGGAGAACCAATCCCGTGGAGAACCAATCCATGACAATACTTTATAACAGAAATTAAAACATTTTAAATTGGAAGGCAATGCATAATGACACAAATCCCCCTTTCTCTGCATCTGAGACTACTATTATCTTAAGGAGGAAACTGTCAAGAGCCAAACAGCCTATTTTATAACTTCAAAGTTAAATGCATAAAATCATAAATAAGGGGCCCTTATTTATACTAATTACTTTATCTGCTTTAGCTCAATACCCAACCTTAATTTGTTGTTGACTTTGCAACCAGCTTAGTATCTGACATTGCAATTCTTGGATCTTATAGTTGGTTTTAGGCCTTTTTTCCGTAATAAACTGTAAAATTTTCAGCTGTCTCCAAATGTTATCCAAGCAGGAATCTAACACACTTTTGTAGATATCTTTTGCATTCGACAAATATCCTGTTAAAGAAAATTAGGGAAAAATATTAAGCCCTTTAATGTTTTTTACTATAACTCCATGGTAAAAAATCACTAAAAGAAAATAAATCTCGTTTTTTTTTTTTTTGTTGTTGTTGTTTTTTGAGACAGGGTCTCTCTATGTAGCCTGGGCTGTCCTGGAATTCACCTCGTAGACCAGACCATTCTGGAACTCACTATGTAGATCAGGCTGGCCTGGAATTCACAGAGATCTTCCTGCCTTTGCCTCTGTCTACTGAGTGCTGGGATTAAAGGTGTGCACTATCATGTCTGGCTAGGAAATAAATCTTAAGTGAGAGTTAATAGATCTGGAGAGATGGATCAGTAGTAAAGAGTCCTGGCTGTTTTTTCCAGAGGATAGAGGATCAGTTCTCAGCACCTACATGATAGATAACAATTGTCTGTAACTTTAGTTCCTGAGGATCTGATGCCTCTTCTGGTCTCCACAGGCAATGCAAAACACCCAAACACAGTAAATAAAAATAAAATAAACAAAATGAAAACAAAAACAGTGACAATTAACATTTCATTTAGTCCTATTCTGATTTTAATAAAATATGTTGCTGTTTTAATTTAAATTTATACCCAATACATAAATACTATTAAAAAGTATATATACTTATGGAATACTATGTAATATTTTGATACATGCACATGCTGGGTAATACTGTTTTATTTTTCTTTTATTCTTTTCTTTTTTTCTTTCTTTTTTTTTGAGTCATAGTCTCACTGTATATCCTTGGCTGGTCTGGAATTTGTTATGTAGATCAGGCTGGCCTCACATCACAGAGATCCATCTGCCTTTGCCTCCCAAGTAGTTCTGGAATTAACCAGTACAATGCTGAAATCAGATAAACGTATCTTCCTTCTCAAACATATAATGTCTTTAAAATTGGGTGAAGTTAAAAAATCAATGTCTCTTTTTAAGCTATATAACTAACATTAATTTACTTGTACATATCTCCATATGTTTAATATATCTTATTTTCTCCTGATTCCTGCTTATTGAGTATTAATTCACTCTTTCTACAAACTTCAGAATCTACACTTATATGGAAATCCTTTTGAAATATTTATTCATTGGAATTTTCTTTGTATTTAGTTTATGCAACTTTGTACTTGAATTTTGTTTTTTTTAATGCACATGACAACCTCATTAGATTATAAAAACTCAGGGTAAAGTAAATGGTATTTATTCATAATTAATTTGTACATCTGTCAAAACATTGGAGTCTAAATCATGCACATAGGACAGAGTCTTACTATGTTCTGCAGGATGGTCTCAAATTCCAGGGCTCAAGGGAGCATTTTAGCCTCCCCGAAAGCTGGCATTACAAGTATATCCAACCATACCTGTCTACAAAGGGCAACATAAACATGAAAGAACCTAAATCTTGTCCTTGAATGTTCATACTTAGTAAATCTAGATTTTTATCCCAAGAATTTCTTTTTGACAAGCTCACAACCACATGGTGGCTCATGACCATCTCTAGTGGAATCTGATGCCTTCTTTTGGCATAAAGTTGTATATGCAGATAGAGCACTCATATACATAAAATTTAAAGAAAAAGATATTTGGGTAATTAATGAAATGATAACTTAAAATATTTACTTCTTATTCCATATGTTTTACATGAACATGCATGTTACTTCTTATATTAGTACTGCGAGGCTGACAGGTAACTTTTAGGTTGACTTATTTTTTTTTTGTTTTTGTTTAATGATTACTTTTTGTTTATTTATTTTTATGTGCATTGGTGTTTGCCTACATGTAGCATGAATCTTAAAATGTCTTATTAATAAAAACAAACCTGGACCAGGTATTGGGGTGAATGCTGGAAGATCAGAGAAGCAGAACAAGCCACAGCTACCTCACCTCGCCAATTCCTCAGTTGATCCTGTTTTCTCAGACTGGATGCCTCTCAGCTGAACTGTGCTGCTCAAAAGCCTAAAAGCTTAACCAGCTTAAAGCTTCTAGTTTCTGGTCTCCATGCCTTATATACCTTTCTGCTTTCTGTCATCATTCCCTTGGATTAAAGGCTCACTTTCTGGGATTAAATGCGTGAGTCACCATGCTTGGCTGTATCCTTGAACACACAGAGATCCAGGTAGATCTCTGCCTCTGGAATGCTAGAATTAAAGGCATGTGCTGCCACTGCCTATCCTCTATGTTTAATATTGTGGCTGTTCTGTTCTCTGACACCAGATAAGTTTATTAGCGTGCACAATATTTCAAGGAACACAATACCACCACACCTACGTGTACGTCTATGTGAGGGTGTTGGATCCCCTGGAACTGTAGCATGAATCTTAAAAGGTCTTATTAATGAAAATAAACCTGAGGCCAGGTATTAGGGTGAACGCTGAAAGATCAGAGAGACAAAACAGGCCACAGCTAACCCCACCTCACCAATTCCATAGCTAATCCTGTTTCCTCAGACTGGAAGCCTCTGAGTCCTCATCCAAATGGGTCTTAGCTGAACTGCTGCTCAAAAGCCTTAAAGCTTAACCAAGCTCTAGTTCCTGGTCCTCACGCCTTAAATACCTTTCTGCTTCCTGTCATCACTTCCTGGGATTAAAGGCGTGTGTCACTATGCCTGGCTGTTTCCAGTGTGGCTTTGAACTCACAGAGATCCAGACAGATCTCTGCCTTTGGAATGCTAGGATTAAAGGCATGAGTGCTACTTTCTGGCTTCTATGTCTGTCTAGTGGCTGTTCTGTTCTCTGACCCCAGATAAGTTTATTAGGGTGCACAATATTTTGGGGAACACAGTATCACCACATTTCCCCTTTTTTGTCTAAAATTTAAAAAAGCTTATAACTAATACAAGAAAAACTATATCCAATAAGTATATACAATATACACAGTCACGATTACATTAATGATGTCTAGTCCATTAACATTTGACAGATTCAGATGAAAAACTCCATTATATATATTAACAATGTCCACTCCAGTAACATTTGATAAACTCAAACAAAAATTTTCATTACTTGTCCTATTTAAAACAGGTAGTTTCTTTTTAAAAGTAGATTCAATAATTGACCTTTTTATCTTATCACTGGAACTGGAGTTATAGACAGTTGTGAGCTGTCATGTGGGTGCTGGGAATTGAACCATGGTCCTCTGGAAGAACAGCCAGTGCTCTTAACCTTTGAGCCAACTCTCCAACCCCAAGATACTGACTTATGTTTTACCTCCTTTTTCATTTTTTTCAAATATGATTCTCATTACTGATTCATTGCTGTTGTTTTGTTTGTTGAGATAGGGTTTCTCTGTGTAGCCTTGGCTGTCCTGGGACTCACTCTGTAGACCAGGCTGGCCTTGAATTTACAGAGATCCACCTGTCTCTGCCTCCCAAGTGCTGGGATTAAAGGTGTGTAATACCAACTGCCCGGCTCATTACTGATTCTTAATGCTGCTGTCTGGTCTTAACATTTTAAAAAAGATTGATTGTAGGCCAGGCATGGTGGCATACATCTTTAATCCCAGCACTTAGGAGGTGAGGCAGGTGGATCTCTGAGTTTGAGCCTAGCCTGGTCAACAGAGTGAGTTTCAGGACAATCAGGGCTACACAGAGAAACTCTGCTTCCTCCAAATTTATTTTTAGTTGTCTGTCTGGGTATGTTTGGGGGTAAATGCACCTGAGTGCCGGTACTGTGGAGGTCAGAGGCAAGAATCCCACTGGAGCAGCTCAACATGGGGCTGGAAACTGAACGGGGGCCCACTGCAAGAACATATGTACTCTTAAATACTGAGCCATCTCTCCAGGCCCAGAACTACCTTAAAAAACAAATCTAATCCAGTAGCATCTCTTTTCAATCTCTTTTAGCCCCGTATAGTAAGGGCTAAATTATTTTGTATAGCAATAGCTAGTTCTTACTTTCTAAGGCAAAGTTGCAAACACGTACTAGGGACCTAAAATGTATATGACAAAATGTCAAGTCTCACATTAAAAACCAACACATAATTATGATTATACATTCAGATCTGTATAAAGCCATCAGAACTCTGTAATTCAGACTTAGACTACCAGCATAAACAATATATGTGTGTGTGTGTGTGTGTGTGTGTGTGTGTGTGTGTGTGTGTGTGTGTGTGTATAAAGTTCCAGTCTGGGCTGAGAGTCTTGCTTAGTGATAGACTGCTTATTTAGTATTACAGTATTAAGGGGCCCTGAGTTTGATTCTTAGTACTGAAATGTGTATAATACACACACACACACACACACACACACACACACACACACACACACACACACATACACACACATATATCCTATTAATAATTATGACAAAATGTATGTTGATCAGTGTAATAGGCAAGAGGCTACATAATTTTTCAAGAAGTATATCTTTTTCAGAAAAGTAAAGTTATTTCAGATGGGCTATTCAACAAGAAGAAAGCAAAAATAAAAAATTTCCTACCAACCTAATGCTGTCTCCAAGTTGCATGTTAAAAGGACGTCTCTAATTGTTACCAGGAGATGTAAGAGAGCAGCATGCCTGAATGTTATTTCTCTGTCATCATTTTTACCTATACAAGCAAAAACATAGTTAACACATTAGAGTTTTAGAATATGTACCAAATCTGCTTGATAATAACAGCTAGTATCTATTAGTGAGTGCTTACTATTGTTAGGCTGTGTTAGATAAGCAGGTTAGTTCATTGACTCTCTAATAATCCTGTCAGGATTACTGTGATCCTCATTACGGAGGAGGACACAGCTTTAGTGAGGATAAGTGATGCTCAAGATAGCACTAAGCCCTGACAGTTGACTGCCCCGCTCATCCCCTACTGGCAAAGAATATTCAACTATGTTAACTTTTTTTGAAAGAAAAAAAATAGTTCTAACCAAGAAGAAAATTAAATTAGTAACTTGCCATTTGGGTAAGACAGAAGCAGAGATTTGTAAAAGAAGAAATACTTTGAAATGGAAATAGATATCTCAAAGTGTTAGCTCAGAGATATGACTCACATAAGAGAAGTATTCAGAGGGATGAGCCAATTGCCTACTTAATGTATTCTATGCATTTCTAGAACTTTCTGAAGATGAATGGTTAGATTCTTCTACAATGTAAAAGGGTGAATGGGGAGAGGAGGGCATACATATACCACCCACGTGAGTGGAGGTTAGAAGACAACTTGCACGAGTCTGTTTCTCCTTCCACCATGTGGGTTCTGGGAATCAAACTCAGGTCACCAGGGTTGGCAGCAAGGACCTTTATCTGCTAAGCCATCTTGCTGGCCCAATTTTGCTTTATTTTTGTTGTTTCAGGGTCTCACTTTGTAGCCCTGGATGGCCTCAAATTCACAAAGATCCACCTGCTTCCTGAGTTGTGTGATTAAAGTCATGAACCATCATATCCAGCAAATACTTATTTATTTTTTATTTAAGAGTATGTGTGTGTACGAGTTTATGTGCACCATGTGCATGCAGGAGCAGGCAGAGGCCACAAGAAGGTTACAGATCACCTAGAACCAGATACAGGTGGTAGGAACCACCATGTGGTAACTGAACCTAGGTCCTTTGTAGGAGAAGCACATACTCTTAAAACAACTGAACCATCTCTCCAGCCCACCTATATTATTTTTAGAAGAAGTGCTAATTTGTTAACATATGTATAATTTAATGAATTTAGAAATTGATTTTACTAACAAACAACTAGGTCCAGATAACATGTAGTAAGCACAGTGCATTATCTCTTTTACAAGACAGAGCACATAGAATACCACACCAGACTTAAAAATGAATGGTCACAGACAGACTGGTGAAGAAGGCTAGATTTCAAAATGTCACTCAACAAAAGGTAAGTTTCCTATTTTTCCTGTTAGTATGTCCCGGCCTGTACCATAGGCAACTACAAACCCCGATGTGCATGCCCCAGCAGGGACAGAAATAACTCTTAAGAGAAGTTCTCCATCCATGGCATGAGTAGTGGGAACAGGCGCTCATATGGATAAGGAAGAGTAGAAGTCTACTGTATTATTCTAAAATCATTGTTTGTGCTCTCCTTCCCCAGAGCCACAGTGTTAGAGGCCAGCCATGACAACAGTAATTATTGGATATGCTTATGTCAGGTGCCTAAAACCCCTTCTGAATATGCAGAAACAGTTATCATGAGCTTCAGCAACCTCTGATAACTCTAGTATCTTTGATTTGGGTTTGTTTCAATAAATTATTCTCATTATTTATGAGTTGTATTTCCTGCCTCTTTACTGTCTGGCGATATGACTTTATACTATATCTCATCAGTTTTATGTTGTTGGGTGCTGGGTATGTTTATGTTTATATAAATCTTGTGTTTCATTATGGAATGCAGTTAAGTTCACTGGAAATGATTTTATCCTTTGGATCTTGTTTTTGCAATTTTGTTTGGGCATGGTCAGAGCAGGGCCAAGTACTAGTTCCAATGTGAATAGTTATGGGGTTAACTTCATTTTTGCAATGGAGATCTATTAAGCAATTCATATCATTTAAGAGATTCATTGAGAATCTTCTGGGCTTGGCCTAGATGTGGGTCCTACATGCTAAATTACAGTTAAGGTTTCTTCCAGGTCTGAGGTCTACATTGCTACAGTTGTCTTTAAATGTGCCTCCTTGAGTAGTCTGGATTTGACTTGTACTCACCTTGGTGAACAGTATCATTTATTATCTTTTCTTGTTCCTTTAAGAAGAATCTTGTTTGGTCAAATATGACAGTGGCAAATTTCCAATTAGCAGCAGGGTAAGTGCAGAGGCACACAAGTTTGTTTAAGACGGGAGTCGCTGCTGCTTCTAGGAGACAGTATGCTTGGCACTGGGTGTCTGAAAAATAACAGCATCCAAGTCAGGGTGTGTGGAAAGGCCAGTGTGCTGTTTCTGATACCGCCTGAGTCACCTGACAGCGGGTGAGAGGACAGATCGTTAGTAACACATTCCCGAACATGGAAGAGACTGAGGACTCTCGCAGTTCAGTCTTCTTCCACGGATGTAGGGACGAGGCTCCAGTTTTAATGAGAGAAGAAACAGCAGTTAGTGGGCTGGAGCATGACTATGGGAGAAAGACATGGATGTGCACAGGCGCCCCATGTCTGGAAGAAACTTGAACGTAGGAATGGAATTAAGTTTCTGAAACAAATAAAGACAATTACAGGAAAATAAGGTATGTTCTACAAATCTGGGAGAGGACTTCCAAATCAAGTGAAAGAGAATGCATCTTGAAAGCCTACTGCATACCTGATGCCTGAATCTCAATGACATCATCTGTTCTTTCTTGACTTTTCTCCTTTGGAGTTTTGTTATTAGAAACAACAGGACTTTCTTCTTGACGAGTCAGAGCACACTTTTCTTCATCTTGAAATTCTAGCAAAAACATTCAATTGTTCAATTTAACACAGTGTTCAATATCATAGTTGCTAAATTTCTTCATGGAAGTACATTGAGACTAAGTTAAACAAATTATCCAGATCAGTGGACCTAAGAAGTGCTGAGTAGCGAAGTGGATGACGGAAGTGGGAAAACTTTGGCATCTAGTCAGAATTCAGCCCCAGTCCTGACAGCAGCCTGGGTGTCCTCATATGTAAACATGGGCTCGGATCCTACCTTAAGTACAGGGGTCAAATGCCACCCAGTTCTGGACACATAAATGACGACAACACTCACCTCCATGCCTTTCCAGAGTTGTCTTTCTACTTAAAACCTTCTCCTGGGTTCCAAGGCTTCTAAGGTCTCCATCCTTTCTGGGGATACCAGTTTTTACTGCTTATCCTCAGTTCATCCATATGCTACATGAAGTTTTCCATGGCTGCCTGCCTTACTTCCAGCCCAAACAAACCAACCCTCTTTTAATACGCAATTCAGTACCTGAGACAGTGTTTAATAAATGCTAGGGTCTTTTTTTCTTTTTTAGGTATTATAGAAGATTCATGTATATGTGCATACAGCTATTTTAACTAAAATATTAATGTCATCCACCAATAATATGATTATAAGATACTTTTAAGACTGTATTACCAACCCGAGGTACTTTAATATGTGAGGTTAAAAGTATGATAATAGAATGGGACATGGTGACTATGCCTATAATCCCTGCACTTAGAAGGCTAAGGCAGGAGGATTACAATTTTGAGGCCAGACATGGCTACACAGAAAGATCCTGCCTTAAATAAAAATAAAGAATCCCAAGTATAATTTGGAGAATATCTAAATTAGATTATATCATCTTGAAGTAATACTGCCGGCTAATTTAAAGTAATCCGAATAGATACAGTCAAGTGATATTAATTATTGAAGTTTTTGAGAAAGCTAATAAGACAAGCTTCTTTGGGGGAAGTTCATTCCCTTACTGTACACTCAGTAATGAGCTTCAGCACATCTATAAATGACTGTCACACATTTTGGAAAATCGGACACAAGTGCATGACACCAAGAACCAAATCTTGTCTCCACAGAGAGAACATAGGACTGCAAGGCCAAATCATGCTCCAAACAACATAAACACTTTTTGTACCAGTTTCACTGAAGTAAAGTCTATCAAAATTATTCTAGAATGCACCAGGTGTAGGGGTGTACACCTTTAACTGAAGCACTCAGGAGGCAGAGGATCTCTGTGAGTTTGAGGCCAGCCTGGTCTACATAGTGAATTCTAGGAGAGCTACATAGTGAGACCATGTCTGAAATAAAAAAATTATTCTAGAATTCTATTTTTTATATAATTTACTTAACTTTATTTTATGTGTGCTGGTATGAAGGTGTCAGATCCCCTGGAAGTGGAGTTAGAGACAGTTGTGAGCTGCCATGTGGGTGCTGGGAATTGAACCCAGGTATTCTAAGAGCAGCCAGTGCTCTTAACCACTAAGCCATCTCTCCAGCCTGAGTTCTATTTTTTTTTAAACTGGAAGTGAAATGATATGACACACTGTACTATTTTGGATATTGTTAGAAGCAGGAAATATATGACAATTACAACTCAAATAGAAACTCTTTGATAATATTAGAAAGAGTAATAAGCAATTAAATGAGAAAATGTGGAAAATGTGTAAGTACACATTGAAGTGTGTTAAAGAACTAAAATAAAGCCCTAACTAAGGAGCTACTGTAACTGATAGCTGCTGGGAGAGTTAGACCCTTGGTAGGTCTAACCAAGCTCCAAAGGACAGAAAAAAAGGTGGGTCTGGAGAGGTGGCTCAGAGATGAAGAGCGCTTACTGCTCTTGCAGAAGACCCAAGTTCAGTGGCCAGCATGCACATGGCAGCTCACATGTCTGTAACTCCAGTTCCAGGGGACCCAGCACCCTCTTGTAGCTTCCATGGGTATTAGGACTCATGCAGTGCATATGTATACATGCAAGCAAAAGACCCATACACAGGAAACAAAATAAAGAAACCTTTTTAAAAAATGAGGACATGAAGTTGGGTGGGTATGAAATGGAGGATGGATCTGATTGGAGATGGGAAGGGAGAAATGATAGTGTTAAAAAGAAAATGTTTGAAATTCTTGAAGAATTAATAAAACTATTTTTGAAAATACTGGAATAAGATTGTAAGTTAATAAAAAAAAAGCATGAGAGAATGATCAAGTTAGGAATACTAAGCTTATATATCTAAGCTATACAAAGCAAGTTTTATAAGGAATGGCTTTGTTACAAATTAAAATGTGCTTTTTAATCTTTGAAAGCACATTTATATCCATATCTAAATCTATACCTACACATCTCTATCTCTATTTATAAGGAGTGTCAATGGCACTTTCCTTGTCTATGAAAAACTATACAATTTTCTAGAAGAGCTTGAATTTCCTTGCATTTGTATAACAGACAGTGCCCAGTTTTACTACGCCAAAGTTTTACTATTACCCACCACTGTTTTCGTCATGGCCTGTGACTTCGGCATCTGAAGCAAAAGTCTTGTATTTACTTCTCAGAGTAATAAACTCGCTCAAAAGGTCCAAGTCATTCTGTTTTTTATTGTCAGATGCCTTGATCCATGAAGAGGAAGTTGATTCAACAGATGGCACAGAGTTATATGGTCCAACATGATTGTTGTCTATCTTCTGCATTATTCCAGCAGCTAGTTTTTGGTCATTCTTTGGATTTTCTTCCTTTTCTGGTTTTTTAACAGAGACACATTCATCAGACATATCAAATCCAATATGACTGTTGTCTATCTTCTGCATTATTCCAACAGCTAGTTCTTGGTCATTCTTTGGATTTTCTTCCTTTTCTAGTTTTTTAACAGAGACACATTCATCAGACATATCAAATCCAACATGACTGTTGTCTGTCTTCTGCATTATTCCAGCATCTAGTTCTTGGTTATTCTTTGGATTTTCTTCCTTTTCTGTTTTTTTGACAGAGACACATTCATCAGACATATCAAATCCAATATGACTGTTGTGTGTCTTCTGCATTATTCCAGCAGCTAGTTCTTGGTCATTCTTTGGATTTTCTTCCTTTTCTGTTTTTTTGACAGAGATACATTCATCAGACATATCAAATCCAACATGACTGTTGTCTGTCTTCTGCATTATTCCAGCAGCTAGTTCTTGGTTATTCTTTGGATTTTCTTCCTTTTCTGGTTTTTTAACAGAGACACATTCATCAGACATATCAAATCCAATATGACTATTGTCTGTCTTCTGCATTATTCCAGCATCTAGTTCTTGGTTATTCTTTGGATTTTCTTCTTTTTCTGGTTTTTTAACAGAGACACATTCATCAGACATATCAAATCCAATATGACTGTTGTCTGTCTTCTGCATTATTCCAGCAGCTAGTTCTTGGTCATTCTTTGGATTTTCTTCCTTTTTTGATTTTTTAACAGAGACACATTCATCAGACAAACAAAGATGCAGCACTTCTTTTTCTGAAAATGGTCTCTTCTGTGGACATAATCTGGGAACACTGGTAGATTTCACACTCATAGGCATGATGGGCAAGGGACAATTCTGATGTTCTAACCAGGCTGGAAACAAGAAGATAAAAGACACCAAAATGATTTCTACACCCAAATGAATAACTTTTGGTTATAGATTCCTAGTAACGTAATTTTATCTTTAGGGGTTGTTTGTTTATTGTTTGCTTCTAAATAAAATAAGCTTAATTATATAAATAAATATAAGTTTATCATCTCTTTTCTTTTCTTTGAGATAGGGTTTCTCTGTGTAGCTCTGACTATCCTGGAACTCACTTTGTAGACTAGACTGGCTTCAAACTCACAGAGATCCACCTGCCTCTACCTCCTGAGTCCTGAGATTAAAGGTGTGCCTCATCATTGCCTGGCAACCATCTCTCAATACTAGGAGTTCAATTACTAGGCAAAGAAGGAACTCCAGTAAAGCTCTGTTGCTAATAGGTTATAATGAGTCACAGCCTTGGACAAAGGGCTGAATCCAAAATATATTTTTAAATTCTTATAAATGAACATTTAAAAAGAAACCTAATTAAAAAGCTGGCAAAAGATTTGAACATTACACACACCCTAAAATATAGATGAATCATGATGTTGAGTAAAATATGCCAGTCACAACAGGCCAATATTTGAGTTTTTATTTATACAGACTATCTTAAAGAGGCAACTCTATACAGACAGAGAACAGATTAGTCACTCCACAGCTGAGCAAAATAGAGAATGATTGCTAATGGATATGGGATTTGAGTGAGGGGTTAAAAAGTGTTCTGAAAACAGTCTGTGGTGATGACTCTACACGTCTGACTTTATGAAGACCCACTGACTGATGCATTTTAAATTGTGTGGTAAATTCTATTATAATAAATCTGGTCACTGAGTCTGTAAAGATACTCAGCACTATTAGGCGCTAGGGAAATATAGAATAAAGCCACAAGAGCCTTACACATGTCCTTTAGAAAGGCTGCTTCCACGTATCTGAAATTCACACATTACTGGTGGGCATGTACAATGGTGAAATAATTTTGGAAAACAATTTAATAGTTTCTTGTAAAACCTGTAACACCTACAATAACAATAAGCAATTTTACTTCTGTATATTCTTTCAAGAAAAATAATACCATGCCCATAAGAAGTGTTGCACAAAACGGTCAAAGGAGTTTTACTCACAACACTAAAAAATTGGGAATAAATTCTGGGGAGATGGTCACACTCTGGTTAAGTACGTATAATAAGTATATATCAAATATATGTATTAATGCTACACATAGCATGGATGAATCTCACAATGCTATGCCAAGTTGAAGAATCCAGGCACAAAGCCAGGTGTGGTGGTGCACGACTTAAATCCCAGCACTTGGGAGGCAAAGGCAGGCAGATCTCTGAGTTCAAGGCCAGCCTGGTCTCCAGAGTGAATGCCAGGACATAGAGAAACTGTGTCTCAAAAAACCAAAAAAAAAAAAAAAGGCAAAGAAATGGCTAGAAGCTTTAAAAGTAAGATTGCAGATTTTAGGCAGAATAGGGTTTTAGGATTAGTTAATTAAACTACCCTAGTTTTCTGGCAGGACAAATACATAACACATATTTGCACTGTTAAAACTTTGTGGATATCTTCATAACCGTCAAGGAGAAGCCAAAGAGTCAGACATCTTCTCATGAAATGGTCAAAGGTGTATTTACTATTCTGTACTCACGGTCCAGCTGAAGCACTTTTGTAGGCAGGAAGACCTCCAACTTAGTCGCCTGAGAAGGCAGACCACAGTGACACAAATACGCCTTCAGATGCTCCAAGGCGTCGGCCACTATTGGATTTAGTCTTGCTTGTCTCCACCTCTTTGCTTTTGCAGGGTTAATCACAAGGCTGTCTCCTTTGATAGAAAAGATATTCCTCATATTTGCAAGAGAATATTGACTGCTGGGCTCTTGACATCTTGGAACTTGAAAACAAACAAACACAGGGAAAAAGAAATGAAAAACATTTGGACTCACATTGAACTTTCTTAATAAAACACATTTTCACACTTTGGGAAAGGTGAAATTTAAGGCTATATCTGGTATTTTGTTTTCAAAATGTAAATATCTGTGTAAGTCCAAGTTAGTTTAACAATAGAAACCACACAATTTCTTCTTCTTCTTCTTCTTCTTCTTCTTCT